AGGAGGACACTGGGGACATGGGGACACAGCCAGGAGGACATGGGAACAACGTGGGGACATGGGGACAGAACCAGGAGGGCACAGGGACAACGTGGGGCAACGAGGACACAGCCAGGAGGGCACAGGGACAATGTGGGGACATGGGGACACAGTCAGGAGGACATGGGGACAACGTGGGGCAACGAGGACACAGCCAGGAGGGCACAGGGACAATGTGGGGACATGGGGCTACAGCCAGGAGGACATGGGGACAATGTGAGGACATGGGGACGGAATCAGGAGGGCACAGGAACAACGCGGGAACATGGGGACACAGCAAGGAGGGCACTGGGGACAACGTGGGGACATGGGGACAGAACCGGGAGGGCACGGGGACAACGCGGGGACATGGGGACACAGCAAGGAGGGCACTGGAGACACAGCCAGGAGGGCACGGGGACAATGTGGGGACATGGGGATACAGCAAGGAGAGCACTGGGGACACATCCGGGAGGACACAGGGACAACGTGGGGACATGGGGACAGAACCAGGAGGACATGGGGACAACGTGGGGACATGCGGTCATAGACAGGAGGACATGGGGACGACGTGGGGACGTGGGGACAGAACCAGGAGGGTGCAGGGACAACGTGGGGACATGGGGACACAGCAAGGAGGGCATGGGAACAACATGGGGACGTGGGGACAACGTGGGGACATGGGGACACAACAAGGAGGACACTGGGGACATGGGGACACAGCCGGGAGGACATGAGAACAATGTGGAGACATGGGGACAGAACCAGGAGGACACTGGGGACATGGGGACACAGCCAGGGGGGCATGGGGACAATGTGGAGACATGGGGACAGAACCGGGAGGACATGGGAACAACGTGGGGACATGGGGACACAGCCAGGAGGACACTGGGGATATGGGGACACAGCCAGGAGGGCACTGGGACAATGTGGGGACATGGGGTCAGAACTAGGAGGGCACGGGGACAACGCGGGGCAACAAGGACACAGCCAGGAGGGCACTGGGGACAACGTGGGGACATGGGGACAGAACCAGGAGGGCACAGGGACAACGTGGGGACATGGGGACACAGCAAGGAGGGCATGGGAACAACATGGGGACGTGGGGACAACGTGGGGACATGGGGACACAGCAAGGAGGGCATGGGAACAACATGGGGACGTGGGGACAACGTGGGGACATGGGGACGCAGCCAGGAGGGCACAGGAACAATGTGGGGACATGGGGATACAGCCAGGAGGACGTGGGGACAACACGGAGCAAGGATGACACAACCAGGAGGACACTGGGGATATGGGGACACAGCCAGGAGGACACTGGGGACACAGCCAGGAGGACACAGGGACAACGCGGGGACATGGGGATGCGGCCAGGAGGACACTGGGGACATGGGGACACAGCCAGGAGGACATGGGAACAATGTGGA